ATGACTTGGTAATTTGATGCGCAAGCTAAAATTTCTCTCCTTTTTCTTTTTCAGGAATTCAAAAGTATTCGCCGAGTTTCATCATAATAATTTGCAACTTTGTGATCTTACTGGGATTTGGTCTGTTTGTTGTTTTACATGAATGGCTGCTTTCAAAATTTTTACTTGACCCTTGTTTAAACCATCTACTAAAGGTACAATCAGGGCAAACTTTAATTCGATTTGAATAACGAAAAAAATGTAAGATCTTTGGCAAAAGAGGTCTAAGAAAAGTAATATTTTCTAGTTGTTTTACAATATTTTCTTTCGTCGAAGGTTTTATGCTTGATAGGGGAAGTCTATATATGTGAGTCAAAACAACGGAGAACCAAGTGATCCCGATTCCTTGGCATTTTTACGCATGAGGCACCATGAAAGAGAAAGAACCACTTTTGTGTATGTGTAGACATATTTTTTTAGTGTGTGTTTTTTTTTTTTTTTTTTTTTTTTTTTTTTTTTTTTGTAAAAATTTTTTTTTTTTTTTTCATTTCGATAAACATTTGTATCTTATATTTTCAACTGTATCACATTTATACCTTCACATTTTTAAATCTTGTTCAATTCTTACTTTCTTTTGGCAAAGTTTTAATTTGACTATGAGAAAGTCCTAGACGTCGTTCATATTTGGAAATTTGATTTTTTCTTAATATTTTCTTATTCTTTATTATTTTTCTATAAGGGCATTTACATCGTTTTTAGAATCAAAATCGAGAAAAAGGTGAGAATTGTTCATAAATTCACAACTTAGGTATAAATGTGATACAATTCAAAATACAAAATATGATCTTTTTAGTGGACTCGAAATACATTGAATAAAGAAACTCTACTTTTCATGTATATTTATGCATGTTTTTAGAAGTTTATTAGGTTGCCTGAGCCTCCCAAGGAAACTCCCTAAACTTTAGTCAAACTATAGTTAAAATAGCTAGAAAATTATTTTAACTAGTAATTTTTAAGTGAGTCACTTCAATCATACTCACTATTTTAACTCAACATAAAATATTTTATTATTTATTAAATTAAAAATATAAATAACTTAATTGAATTTAAAAAAGAACCCTTCTATTTATTATTTTTTGAAAGAATAAAATAATAAAAAAATGAAATTGCTTAAGCTTATAGTAAATTAGACAAAGCCCCCTAAAAAGTAAAAATCTAATCAATACCTCTAAAATTGTTAAAGTGCAATAAATATATTCAAGAATCTTGAATCCTTGCTCCTTTTTTTTAATTGATTATCTTTTTTCTTACTTAAATGTTTATTTTTTTCTCACTTATTTTTGTAGCTCTTTTCATTTGATTAACTTATATTAGTACATAATTCATAGTTGAAGTGTTTAAAGAATTTGAGCATTAACATTGTTATTTTGAGAATATGATTTGATTAGTTAAAAACAATACATTCATTAATCATTATATTGACATGTTCATTTGTCAAAATTAAAATAAGAATAAATTATTAAATGTGAAATATTTAAGTAGCAATTTGATTTAACAATTACTTTCCAACTCTTACCGGTAAAATGACAACAATACTAAGTCATAGAGGTGGATTTCACTTTTTCGAAAACTGCTAGCTAATTTTAGTTACAGAAAACAGCCAGGTAGTGTACATATATAATTAATATGTCATGCCCTTAGTTCAAAATCAATGTATTTATATTTCTAGGTTTATTGACGATGTCAAATAGTACTAGCTAGCGATATATAAGAAATAATTCCCATACCTGTCGCAATAAGAAGTCATTCTACAATATGTCGAATTTGTAAAATTAGAGAATAATTTTCATGGAATGCAATATTAAGTCAGACTTAGACTAGAACTAAACAACATATTGATTATAGGTCATCATATGCTCACTGTTCTTCAACGTCTAAAACTAACAACATTCACTATTCGGTTGCAGATGTTGGTACGGCGAGTGATTCCTTCCACTTAAATAAGTCTAATGTGATGGTAACTGGTAACGCTCTCCATCGTGTTTGATCGGTGCATCTTTCACTTACAATTCCTTTTCGTCTAAATTTTTTGGGAAAAATGCACCCTTACAACCACACAATAAAAAAATAAATTGAAACAAAATAACAGAAAAATAGGGAAGATAAATATTTAAGTTGTTTGGAAAAATTTTCTACGTCCACAGAAGAGTGAAAAAAAATTAACTAACAGTTTTAGAATTACACTCATACAACTTTTTCTCATTGTCTCTCTACCAAAAACTCCTTACGCGTCATTGTCTATCTTTCTCCTCATTTTTTTTTCTCTCTCTATCTCACTCAAAAAAGAGACTATTTCTCTGCACTATTCTATGACAACTCTTTTCTCTCAACACATAAAGTCTTATACAAAGCACTTATTTATATATTCTTAATAAGCCATAAAATAACTCTTACTCAAAAACTGAAAACAGTAACTTATACAAAAACGTAAAATAGTAACTTTCTCAAAGTTAATTTGAGTCACTTACCTAACAAAATTAAACAATACGACAAAAAAGTGATTAATCGATGAAACACCGTGAGGCGGCTGGCGGCCAGTGCAAGGCTGCATTCACTGCCACCGGTGATATATCTCGACCTGATGAATTTAAATTACTTTAGTGCGGACCGAACCACCACAAGATCTGACCACAACAGCCATTGCCACGCTTAGTTCCCACAGATTTTTGGTTATGCACGACATGTCTACATCCAGTGGTGGAGCCACTTGAAGATTAGCGGGGGCAGCCGCACCCACTCAAATTTTTTTGAAAAATGTATTACCTTTAAAAATTTTAAAATTTTACATTTAATCTCTCACTGAAATAATATATGCTCTCATTATGATAAATATATTTTTTATATGTTCCCACTAAAATAATTTATTAAAAAAATTTAATATACGCCCCTATTAAAGTGAAAAACCGGTTCTGCCGCTGTCTACATCTATTAACCTTGATTCATTGAGGAGCAAAACCAATTTGTAGTCTTCGAGAGTTTTATTTGAGAGAATGAGCGAGGTTTTTGGGGGTTCTTGTAACACTGGCGATCAAGGTGGGTGGTCATGAAATAAGAATCATTGGTGATTCGAGATAGTCACTTTTTAGACACGCATGCACTTGAACCTTACGAGAGATTTTACCGGCAATTTTGTCAAGATTTCATCGAATAACTGATCTTCTGGGATATAACGCTGCTGATTAGTACTCAGTACTCACTGCTTTTGATCTTTTTGGTATTATCATCGTTATGCACAAACTGTGTGTGAAGGTATTAAAGAGGACGAAAAAGACTAGCTAGCTATACGGTTGGAAGGTGGGATTTTTGTTTGTGGTTTATGTCGAATAACCCGTTTAGTTCGTTGATTCGAGTTTTTAATTCGAATTGAAATGTGACTTTATGTGAGCTTTTTACTCTAATAAAAAAGTTAGATATAACTATTTTTTAGAGTTTTTTACTGTAATAAAACTCAAATTCTAAACTCAAATCGGTGAAATGAACGAAGTCTGAATAAATGTTGCTTGTGGTATATTGGCGAGTGTTTTAAGTATTGAGTCGTTGGTCTTTCTATATATGAAAACGTTGGTAGGAATTAGTATAATTTGTAAACCTCCCCTTTTAGAAATTACAAATCTTTGTTGCCAACAGGTGGACCCTTTTTCTACCTTCTTTTTTTTTTTTTTTTTTTTTTTTTTTTTTTTTTTCCTTAAAGCACATACGACGAGTTATTTTAGGATATAAATGACAATTTAAGTGTAGTCTTCTCACCAACTCGTTCTATAAATAAAAATACTCACTATACATGCTCTATTAATCCATATAAATTGACGGAGTATGGAGGGCATATTTCCGTCACGGATTCGGAGTACACGCATTACCTAATTAATTATTTTTATTGTAAAATAAATAGATAAATAATTAATTATTTTAATTATACAAAACATTAAAATAAAAAAAAGGGAAGGTAGTTTTATATTTCTATATGTATATTATTTAATATATTATACTTAAAACTAATTATACATAATAAATTCAGTTTAAAAATGATATTATTAAATGAAACGGGTAAAACGTAAACGAAAAATATGATGGGAACTTCTAAACTTGTCTCTGTACTACGACCTGGGGGGGGAATTATAACCCAATAACAACTCCAATCCGTTTAAAGTTGATTTTTTCCTTTCCACTCCTGTAGATTAATGGGTTAAAGAGTAAAATTGTCATTCTTAGGAGTAATGGGTCACCGGCAAAATTAGGGTTGTTCATAAACCCGTCAAACCCATAGGCCCAATCCACCTCATCTCAACCGAACTTGAAAAATGCAATTTTTAATATTAATTTTTTTTTCGGCTTATTCAATGTTTGCCCCAAAATTTTAGGGCGTGGTGTGGATTGAGCTTATAATGGTCCGCACACTCCGACTTAACCCGCGCTCTAACTTGCATTCTCTAATATCTAACCCTAGGCAGTCAATTCAGTTCTACTATATAGTTTCTTCATGTTTGAATTAAACATCTGTATTTGCTTTGTGTTAAGACTAATTTATGAGCGTAGACTAATTTATGTTTGCTTTATATTTGATATTGGATGGACTACTTTGCTTCATATTTGATGTTGGATTGAACTTTGAATTTCAATATGTTTGAATATTGAATTTTAAATGTTGAATTGAATTTTGAGTTTTTGATCTTTGAATGTTGAAACCGACCACCTAACTCACTTTGCACTGTCCCAATCCAATCCAAACATCATTGGGTTGTGAAATTTTTTTAACATCATTAAAATTAAATATGTGCAACCTACACTTTTTAAGACAAAAAAAGAAAAAATCATATTCCGCTCTAACCCAACTTATGAACGGTCCGCAAAATATATATAGCAGCAAATTTTTCAGGACAATAAAGAGAAGTCCATAAAGAACATCCAATTAATAGAACTAGACGACAGCAAAATGGGCCATTGTTTGTTTTACATACATAACTTGGTAGTTTGACTCTTATCTCTCTCTCTCTCTCTCTCTCTCTCTCTCATTCCGACTCTCTCCCCCGCTCTGAGCTTCAAAATCAGGAACACAATGCTAAGGGCTTCGCATCTTCCGCCATCGGCAACTCCAGCTATTTCTGTACTCAGATTCTCCCTAATTTCCTCTACCAATAACTTTTTTCCACCTTCAAACCTTCACAAAATCTCCCCATATTCTTCACCATCTCTCACTTTTCTCCCCAAAACCCTTGAACCATCTCTACCTCGTCCCTCCCCTTTCGGCTTCAAGCGCCTAATTCCCATGGCGTCTCCCAATGCATCAGGTACGCCGCGAATTCGTTTCTACCCCTTATCTATTTTGCTTTTTTATGGCTTCTTAAATGGACTGTTTGTGTTTGGAGAGAGAAACTCTGTTTCATTGTTAGGTTTAACTTCGATCCTGATTCAACTGTTACTAATTTAGTTGATTTTCGTGCACGGCTAATCAAAAGAATGACACTAGAGAAAATTATTTTTGCATTTTGCATTATTATGGCTCTCAATTTCTTTTCAATGTCCGGTTCAGATTTTTTTAGGGCAACTTAAAGATAAATGGACTAATTTCTGATCGTACTGCTTGAAATTGTGAGATTGGATGATATTCGGTAATGCTTTATTTCCTTTTTGGCTGCTATTCAATTTGATGGCTGCTAAAGTTTTGTTAGAATTCACGGTTGTCTTCTGTATGAGTTGTTTTAAAATTAAATTTTCTCAGCTTCGCTTAGTGCTGAAAGTGGCTCTGGTGGTGGAAGGGAAATACTGGTGCAGCATCTACTTGTTAAAGAAGACGACGTTAAGCTTCTTTTAGATCTTCAGCAGAGAATTTCAGGGGGTTAGTTTCCATGGATTTTGAAATCTAAGCAGATCAAACATCAAATATGGTCCCATAAAAATAGAATGGAATATTCTTTCACCTGATTAAAATTTTGTTGTGATTTCTAAAGGTACGATGTTCTTGTTGCGGATATTTGGTTTTAATGTTATTCATTACGTTCAGGCGAGGACCTGAGTGATCTTGCTGTTGAATATTCACTTTGCCCGTCGAAAGAAGAAGGTGGAATGCTTGGGTGGGTGAGGAAGGGACAAATGGTATGCTGATACACAGATATATACATGTTTTGGTGAAATTTCCTAATATTAGGGACAGATCCTCGTGTCTATTGGATGTCAATATCACTTTCTTGCCTGTTTAAAGTTCTTAAAAGATTTGTCAATATTTTGATGTTCTATAAATTGAAACTTGACCATGGCTGTATGGTATGTGTTCTAGTTGAATATAAGTTGGTTGATATGTTCTGTTTTGAAATACTTCTTTTTAACTAATAATTTCCGGTTGCATACAAGGAATGCGCGTAACATGGTACCTTGACATTGGACTTTTGCAATGAGTAAATGATCTAATAGGCAAAGTCGAGTCTTCAATTTTAGCTAGATTATTTGTCTCTATCACTTATGTCTTTGACACACCTCTGATGGTGAATGTCTCAGGTGCCTGAGTTTGAGGAGGCTGCATTTAGTGCACCTTTGAACAAGGTTGTTAGATGTAAAACTAAATTTGGATGGCATTTGTTGCAAGTCCTTTCGGAGAGGTATTTTTACAAAACTCATGTCTTAGTGAATGTAGGAAATAATGAACAAACTTCTAGATTCATTGCGTGCTGATCTCTTTTCACACCTTGTCTGGTAAGGGAAGAATCATTACTAAAAGACATTCAACCTGAAGGGCTTCATGCTAGAATACAAGATCCCAGTTTCATAGACGAGGCTCAGTTGATTGATCACCGAGAACCTGATGAAGTGTATGCTCTCACATTTCTTTTCTGTTCTTAGCAACCTGAAATTCATTTTGTTAGTTTTGCTGCTCAAGTTATGAAGATATATTGTTTCACAAACTTATCAAAGCGTTTATGAAAAAAGACGAAGAACAATTTGTTTGACCCAATACTAAACTTAAATTTTCTTTTGTTTCAGTGGTGCATTTCTTTCCTAGTTTTTCCTTCTTTTCTTAGCTCATGGTTTGCAATGTGTCAATTCCTTTGCTCACTTCTGTTTAACAGGGTTCAAGCTTCTTTGCCAGGTTTTGAGGTTCTTCCCCTTCGACAATTTGGAACCTGGGGACCTTAGATATCTACTAAGTTTGACCCTCAGAAGGATACTTATGTTCTGGTAACTTAAACAAGTGTTTTTGTGTGTAAATCTTTAAATGAAATTTGTAAATGATAGTGCTCTTCTGTACTTATTTGTTTCTCTATTCATGATTGGCTGAAGTGTGTAATAGTTTTTCAAAATTAGATCCTCAAAGTTTGGTGTTATGCTTTAAGAATCTCACCTATTCGTGTGGCGACCTAGGAGTGGGGGATATTAAAACGATTGTTACAGCTTACAGTCTACTCCTTTTTCCCCCGGTTGTATTTTACTATCTTAAACAAGTAGTTTGATATGTAATTCACCCAATGTTAGATTTTTCTCTTTTGGAAAGGGGACTAGTTGGAATCGTGTGCGTAGGTGCCCTAGATTCTGTAGGTAAAAATAAAAAAAAACATATTTATTATGGTCTCATTTGGAGAAATAAGAAAAAGAAAAAATATATATATATATAATAGGACAAAAAAGATAAGAATTAAAAAAAAAGTTGGAAGACAAAAAAAAAAGAAAAGAAAAATGTATAATAGGGCAAAAGAGCTATGAATATAAAAAGGGCAAACAAGAAAAAGAAAGAAGGGGGGGTGGGGGTGGGGGTGGGGGTGTGGGCAGTTACGGAAGTTACAAAAAAGAAAGAAAGAAAGGAGTAGAAAGTTAACAAAAAAGAGTTTCGCACGGCAGTGTGTGAAACTGATTGCCTCTTAAGAATAGGTAAAGGATTAGTTTTGTCTTTATTTATCTGGAAATGTAACATCCATTAACGTAGTAATATACATTAGTTATTGCAGAATTTGAAATGAAATATTCATTAGTTTCCTATTATCCTTTAGTGATTGTAGAATCGTTATTTCTTAGGTTTTGAATTGTCTATCATCCTCGAGTATTGTTCTGGGATTACCTTGTTGTTCTATTTCCTCCTTGACATACTATGCTTTACTATAGAATGTACGTAGAAAGAAAAATCCTCCCTGCTGATATGTACTTGTCCCATTTCCTTGAATCACACTCGAGCAATTATCACTTGCTTTGCATCCTTCTTTTTCATTGTGTTTTTGGGTAAAAGAGTGATTGCATGTTCTCATAAATGATAATAATCGTTGCTTGCATTATATCCTTTCTAGACCAGTAACAATTTTTGATTTGAAAGTGCAGTGTCACCATGGTATGCGGTCATTACAGGTTGCCAAGTGGTTGCAGACGCAGGTAGAATACCTTTTTTTAATTCAATTATTATAACTGAAACTATGTTGGAGAAAAGAATATATCTATGGTTGCTAATCTTTTACTGTTTTGGGAGGCTACGGCTTATGGGATTGTGGGACTGAGATGTCTCATTGTGTAGCCCGCATACCGGGTGCCCCCTTTTGTGTTGTGTGTGTGTGGCCAGAAAAGCAGATAAAATGTTTCATTTATTAAACCTACAAAAATGTACATTATTGGTTATGTAATTTAACATTGTACATGAAAAAGTTACTTCTTATTTCCTTTTTTTTTTGTTCTATAAATTTCTAAGCCCAATCACTCTCTCTCTCTTTCTACAAAAATGTTCGATAATGACGAGAACATTATTGGTTATGTAATTTAACATTGTACATGAAAAAGTTACTTCTTATTTCCTTTTTTTTTGTTCTATAAATTTCTAAGCCCAATCACTCTCTCTCTCTCTCTGTGGGACGAGGATTGTTTCCTACCTTCATTTGTTTGTTATTTTTTTTAAGGTTTTCTTAATTAATCTATTTTCAATTTTTCAGGGATTTAGGAAAGTATACAACGTAGCTGGAGGAATTCATGCATATGCTCTAAAGGCTGATCAGTCAATTCCAACGTACTGATATCTCTCATCAGCTGAATTTTTCAGGGATTTAGGAAAGTATACAACGTAGCTGGAGGAATTCATGCATATGCTCTAAAGGCTGATCAGACAATTCCAACGTACTGATATCTCCCATCAGCTCAGTTTGCCTTTACTACTCCTGATACTCTCTACAGTTTGATGCGTCTCATTGTCTGTTCCTTTGTACAAAGTAGATTTCCAATCTCATTATTTGCCCCCCTTTGCCAATAATTCTATGGAGAATTAACATTTAATAGATCAGTTGAGTGATAATGTTGGGGTTAAAAATATCGTATTAATCACAGAAATGAGTTTTATGTCTTCCTAGTAAGTTCCTTTTCCCCCCCAATTTCTAGTGAAAGTTATGTTAAACGTGTTAGTGATAAACTAAAGCCAAAATCCAAATGGCACTTTTAATTTTCAAAAGTGGAGACATGAAGGTAAAGACCCCAACCGTCCAAATTTCAACATGATCCCATTTGACTCTCAAAATGACCAGCTAATTCCAGTCTAGACTTTCTAGAAGTGCAATTGTTGCAGCGGAATAAAAATTTGGAAAAATGAGACAAATAATTTGAGATTGCATGAGTCTAGAATTTATCTCTTATTCTTTATTAATTTTTTTTAGTTAAATAATTATATTAGTAAAAAAAGTATTAATTAAGAGTAATCTAACCCATGCATTCTAAGGGTAAGTTAAGTTATTTTCTCTAAAAGTTTTGATAAACTAAAAATAAGTATGAATAACACAATTATTATTATTATTATTATTTGGGTTTAGAAAATTTATTACATGAAGACTTGAGTGTCTTATAGACATTAAGAAAAAAAGCAAATAAGACAAATTGAGCAACTTGTAAGATAGAAATTTGGAAACTAGAAAAAATAAGGAACCTAGAAATACTTCCAGCAAAAAAAGAAAAAAAAAAAAAAAAAAAAAGGGGTCAGAAATATTAGGGAACTGAAAAAAAGAACCAAAAAAAAAAAGGGGGAAACTTGGCTTCGTTGGACAGAAGAACTACAGTCATACGTCAGCAATGTTCGTCACAAGTCAACCATCCATATACCCTGAATTATTCCTCGTCATGTCTCTTGTTTTTACTTGGATTTATTATTATTATTTTTGATAGGCTACCATAATTTGGATCTATCAAAGGAATGCAAAAACAACTAAAAATGATCTTGCAAATTCCAACTACTTCATTAACTCACCAGATACAAGCTATTACCTAACCAAGCAAAAAGACAAGTCATGACTTATTGAAGGCAGCCCGAATCTCATGTTTTGATTCTTGTACATCAGGTCCCTACAGGGAGCCCCACATCACTATCAAAATATCCAAACAAATTTTTACTTTTTTTTGTTTTTGTTTTGTTTTTTTTTTTGGTGATTAAGCGTAAACAAATTTTTACTTAACTGTTGTATATCTCCCATAGGCGGATCAAACGCAAGGATCTTTAGGAGGAGGAAACATATTGGACCCATATCTCCCACGTGCGTTTCTCTGTTTGTGTATATCAAAAAAAAAAAAAACACTGTTTTATACGGGTGCGGGACGGGGTCGACAGGCTCGTATTCCGTGCTTTATAGCTCCGTTCGTACTGATTTAGCTCAATAAAATCATATATATTTTTTTAAAAGAAAAATAAAAATTTATCTTAAAAAAAAAGTTGTAACTTCCCCATGCCTCGCTAATACATGTTATAAATTAAAAATGAATATAATAGGATAACGAACCAAAAGAATGGAGTTGACCAGTATCCATTAGAGAGAGTCAAGGCTCACCATGTGGGAAATCCAACTCAACAATACCTAGGGCTCGTTCGGTTCGCTAATTCGAGTTTTTAATTCGAGTTGAGATGTGATGTTGTGTGAGAGCTTTTTACTGTAGCAAAAAAATTAGATGTGACTGTTTCTGAGAGCTTTTTACTGTAGCAAAATTTAAATTTTAAGCTCGAATCTGCGAAAAGAACGGGCCCCTAGCCGCGATGAGTGTCACTTTTTGGCTAAATTCCATGTTTTAGGCATTAAATGCAGTATCAACCATTTTAGAAAATATCGTACTCGTTTGGTAATGTTTTTAAAATGGTTTTACTTTTGGTACAAAAATAAAAATGAGATTGTTTTAAAAATTATTTTGAAACCGATTTCGAAATTACGTTTGTGATCTTTCAAGAGATTGATTTGAGTATAATAAAAAAATTAAAATCGTGTTTGGTTACATTTATGTTTGTTTTGAGTACATGTAATTAATAATCTTAAATTAATATATTAAGTAATTAATAATTGATAATTATTTAGCTAATAAAAATTAATATTTATAATATAATAATAATGAATAAATTATCATTAATGAGTACATTAGCAATTAAACTATATATATAATAAATTAATATGCTAAATAATTTTTAACTAGTAATTAGTATTTAATTATAAGTAATTACAATGTTAGTAATGTACTCATATTTATTAGATTATAAGTAATTAAGTAGTGTATTAAGAAAAATAATTAGTATATACATAATTTATTAATATTCCGTTCACTACTTAAATTATTAACTTTTAGTTACATAATTAAATAATTAGTTAATTAATTATTAATGTTTATTTAATAATCTATTATATGATATATCACATGATCAAATTTTGGTAATTATTCTTTTTATAATGATTAATTGCTAATTATCAATTATTAATTATTATTGATTATTATATTACATATTGATAATTATAATTTAATCTTAATTATTAATTGAGTAATTACTATTTATTTTTTATTTACCAACTATTTACTAATTAATAGATTTATAATTAACATAATATATGATTGATATATTAATTATTAATTATTTATTTAATAACCTATTATTACTTGTTTTATTGTTAATATGTTATATAATTAATTTTTGACACTTAATCTTTAACTAAATAATTAATACTATATTATTTATTATTTTATTAATAAAATTAAAAACTTATTAGTAATAAATTAATATTTAATTAATAATTAAGTAATTATGATCTATTTATTAGTTATTAAGTATATCTATTTATTAATTATTAATTAATATATGATATAATTAGAGTTAATAATTAATTATTAAATATAACTTTGTTAATAAGTACTAGAAAATGAAAACAGAAAAGGAAAACAACTTTTGATCGTTTTCTACTTTATTCACAAAAATCATTCTCATTATTTTTTATTTTTGTTTTCGTTTTCAAAACTTTTATTAAACAAACGCGATTTTTAGACCGTTTTTATTTTTGTGTCTCAAAAGTCGTGTTAAAACTTTTTCGAAAATAATTTCAAATACATCCATTTATTTTGGTATCGGTAAATGACTTGGTCCAGAAATGTTGGTACTCTAGTTATTACTCACTCTTTGGTTAGTTTTGATACTTTCAATATCTTTAGAAACTTAATTATAGCTGGATGATTATGAACAAAATTATCTTTGATTATGTAAAAATAAGCCCCCAAAACGTGTGGACCAGTGCTTTAATTATTTTTTAATTATTATTGACTTTGCATGGCTTTGGCACTAATTGACCATGTATTGCTGTGTGTGATCACGTGCGTTTGGCCCTTTATGGAGCCTCCTTGCATCTCTATTTTTTTTCCCACATGTTTCCAAATTATTAAAAAGAAAAGAAAAGATCTCCCTCAAAAATCTCATATTTGTTTCCTTTATTTTCCTAGCAAGAACCAAACATGCATCCATTATTTCTCGAGTCTTTATTTTCATTCCCACAAATCATGTGGTCATTTCTGCTTGTAATTTATCTCCTTTTTAGTTTCCAAATCCACATTGTACATTCACCATATATATATATATATTAATCAATTATGCTCAGTTAAGAAGACACAATATTAAACCGATTTTCAAAAATATATATATATATATATATATATGTAAACGGTA